CTGAACTAGATAAACTAGTGAGAATGCACAATAGCGATAGCAAAGCTTTGTAATGCTAAAGAGCTATATCAATATATATATATATGTGTGTTCCCGAAACCTTTGACAGCTTTAAAGAAAGAAAACTGCGTCGTCAATCCTTTTTCAAATTCCACAATAAGTTTATGCGCCTCATCAACAGAATTTACGTATCCTAAATTATCTGCATGTCTACCATCAATGGTTCGCGACTTAAAATTCTCGCTATGCTGTTTCTGTTTGTTCCTCAAGAATCATGGGATTTACAGCTTTTGATGTTCGGCTACATCACTTGCGGATTTCCGAGAATCTTCGGTTATGTTTTGCAAGTCATTAAATATTCCATCTCATTCCCTCTCGACCGAGGTGGTTTTGGTGGATGGAATCTAATGCTGACCGAACAACTACCCCTAGCCAACGGTGTACCGTGGGAGGTCTGGGACGGAGTCAACCCTGGATAATCCGACTCGTGATTGAGGAATTAATCAAACTCGATCAAACACTCGATTAGTGATGTAGGTTATTATAGTCCTCGATTCTCGATAAGTCTTGTTAGGCTCGGCGATAAGTCGAAATCCATTTAAATAGTAAATACAGACATGGGAAATAATATCAGACACGGGAAATAGTAGACAATGAGGAGGTCTGAAAGAGGCCAACAATAACGGACCCTGTTAATTGATTTCCGACACGAAAACTAATTTTTCGATAGGGAAAATACCCTGACTGAATTTTGAACATACCGTTCAAAATTCAGTACTTGACACTGCCAGTCACAAAAATTAAGCCTACTTCACATTGATCTCTCGACTTAAGAAATCTCGATTTAATCCTCAACTTTGTGTGGTTGTGAATAACGGGGATAGGTTTCTATAGAAATTTTGGTTTTGCGTCGTTAGGAGAGTATAACAGGGTAATTTAGTATCATCAACTGAGATGCAAATCAGTTTATAATACTGAATTACAATTTTGTGTGGTTATGTTAGGATGATTGTCTGGAAATTGTTGAATTTTTTGCCGGCGTGTTTGATTAATGACTGTTTTGTTCGTAGTGTTTTAAGTTAGCCATCAGGTTATCTTAAAATAAGGGTGTAAGTCTTGTCAAATGAAGTTATCGTAGAATAAAGGTTTTAAGTTTTGTCAAATGAAATAAATGACTTGAAATGGACTTTATCTTACTAGCGCAACCCTCTCATTGATTTGCGGTGGAATCCCTGAGGAATTCACAACATAAAAACATGCGATTAGCGCTGCTCCAGAAACATCGGTCCAGAACAACCAACTGATATTTTTTTTGCCATATTTATGGCAAACTGTCTTACTCACCTGGTCGCCGTGATTTCGGGAATTTCCCGTTTTAGGTGCGCCACCATAGCGTCTCCGCAAAGCCTCTGGTCGAACTTGACCTTTTTGCCATCTGGGGCAAGAGTTGGGTTTTGACTTACTTGCGCAATGTCGTCCACCAAAACGAATGTTCGGTAGGGCTTCGCGCCCGGTAGCCAGCCTGCAATTTGTGAGTCCTGTGAACCAACTTGTGCATTGGAGCCAAAATTGGCCCGATGGCTCTTACGCTGTGATCACCAGACATTTGAAGAACAAGCTGTTGCAAGGAGCGAAAAGAAACTTCCCTCGTTCATATGAAAAGTAGTGTCACTTATAGAGACGCCCCTATGCTGGTCTCAAATGTAACATCAACGTCATATCCGAAATGATGATTACTGGAGGTGTCACATTTCTAACTTTTCTTTTTTCGTAATAAGGTGAATTTAGGATCCAAGGCTTTGCACGAGCTGGTTAAAGCTCTTGACATTATGAATATAATTTGCTTCCGTACTCCAAGTCAGAGTTACGAGTTTGTAACTCCAGGAAATCGTTATGTCACTTGCAGTTAATTTCTTACCAAGAGCTGAGGCACAACAGAGAAAAACCTTTTGTTTTAATTTAATTTCACTGCGGGACATGTACTATGAATTATTCACAAGGTCCCTGTTTGCTGTTAAAATTATAGAAAACTCGAAGTACAATTGGCGATAAATTGTCAAAAAATTAAAGGGAACTATAACTGTCCGTCTCGTGGATGCATACAAGTTTTCCTGGTATAGATTTCTTTCCTGGTGTCTTGTAATTGGCATCCTTCAACCCGCATCAGGTAGGTAATTTACATTGCATGCTTGACTGTTCACTAGTTTATCAGGCTTCTTTCCAAGAACACTTACTCAAACGCCATTGTGGTCATTATGTGAAAAGTATTCGTATTCCACTACTTCTTCTTCGATCTACAAGGGCGCAAATTATTTTGATCGAGAAAACAAAGGACAAAATGTATTGAGCGGCCCGCTAACTTCATGCAACCCAAGCTTCTTTTTGAAGGGAGAAAAAGAGGCGCAAGGTCATTTTCATTAATCGTAGACGAGCAGATGCGCACAAGCTTAAAACCGGTTAGGCTATCTGGGCAGGCTGCTTATGAATTAGCCGCAGTTGTTAGTTTCGGGCAAATGAAGTTGCTAGTGTTAACCTTAGGCCGGAAAATCAGGCTCTTCGCGTTCGCTGATGATTTATCGGTGCTTTCGCAAATCCTTTCAAAATGAAATTACGTGTCAGCTTTTCCAAAAAGGGCTATCACTGGACTGTAGATGCGATATAAACTGATAAAGCAGTGTTCCTTGTTAAATACTGCTCTTTCAGCAATATCAATGATCGTTTGCTACGCAATTTTGTGTTTTGGTGATCATTTCCTAGTCACTCTTAGGGGTTAAAGGATTAGTTGGTGGCATAACTGATTTGTAATATTTAGAATGACAGAAGCAGTTAAAATGCTTTAAGCTTTTTCCTATTCACCAGTGAGTTAATTAGATTTTGGATTCTACATTCAAACTGGGTGAGATTAATTTATTCATGTCATGTTTCATTGTGGTTTTTTTACATGGAAAGGTAATTGTTATTATAGCTTCACAGATGTTTTGATTGTCGTCGCAATTAACATTCGTAACAAAGTTTTTTTTAACATAGAATGTTTCAAGAACTTTCTTCCTTTCTTTTCAATACCATTTGCTATTTCTGGAGCACAATTCAGGGAAGCAGGTTATTCAAATATAACTTTTAATTCAGGTAATTATTTGATTATGTGAGTAACATTTGATGTTTCCACATATAACAGGATGATCAAGCTGACGATAGGTTCCAAAAGGAGCGAACTCCACTGTGACAATTAGGTGGCTAATTTGGAAGCTTGAGCACTTGATAAATACGTCCTTGGCTTGCAATTCTGATGATTACAGTTTGCTGAGGTAATTGAAATGTCAGTCTCCATGCAGGAAATTTCCACTTGACCTGTACAGTCATATGCTATGAGATAACTTTAGAAAAATGCATTTGTGTCAATAGAACTATTGTAAGTATGGTACTACCTACTTTAGTAGCGACAAAAATTTACGATTTCCTGTAGGCATGAACATTTGAGAGAAGTTATGGTGGTAATTGACCCTTTCTTTGCTAGGATGCATAGGGCATGATGATTATAAAGTATATCTTTAAGCTTTCAAACTTTCAACTTTGTATTAATTGTAACTGTTTGCCATATTTATTTCTCTGTTCCCTAAGCCCTCAAAGTTGAAGCAGGCGAGTCAATAACCTGACTTCTTTTGTTTGGAATTGTGTGATTACATAATTTTGCTGTGTTGGTTAATGTAACATGTAATATTATTACTTAGATTACATTAAACACTCTTGCTCAAGCTTTCATTAATGCATTCTGTTTCTTACCAATGCTCATGCCCAAACTAAACACTGATATAAGGAATTGGTCTCAAGATATGTGAGTTTTAAAGGGTTGGAATCTGGGAAAGCAAGGATCCTCCTTTAATTAGGACTGAAATTAATGGGGGCCCTGTTATTTTGATTCATGTTTTTACTTTGACCTGCCTCCTCCCCCGTAATGTTTAGGGCACATAGATGAAGAGAACATTTTTTGTATTTTAACGCATGAAAGTTAAATTAATTGGCGTCCACATAATGCACAAAGCAAGAATATGTACGCCTCAGCTTTATAGGTTAAAAAATAAAAACAAGAGGGCTGTGCAGACCATATCTTACTTTTTAGCCCCCTCTGGATATTTATTCAAATAACATAGTCACTATCGGTTTCATTCACTCTCACTTTCCACTGAGCTTGTGGAAAGATGATAACCTCAGTATATCTTTGAATGAAAAAGGAAAGCCTGCCCTCTTACCACAGATAGTTCTTTTGTGCATTATCAGTACAAACCTGGTCTAATTTGTATTGATTGTTCTAGGTAGGTTAACCTTATAAATTGGTTGTGAAAATTTCTTAAACCCGTCGTCCTATTATTTTTTTGGATTCAATTTTACCTCACTAACCTAAACTGAATAAATAGAAACTTGAAATTTATTTGTTATGCTTTTGAGGTGTGCATCAAAATTTCGAAGGCTCAAACACGAGTTGAAAATTACTTCTCTTTTCAATTTTCTACGCTGAACAGAGGAGGCTGAAACGTTACGGAAAAACGGTGGGGTAAGCGGTCATACCTGGTAACTTCAAGAGAAGATATGAGAGAAGCCCGTACGATTCAGCCGTTGTGTTTTACTGACTCGCTGTCCTCACTCTTCAATCGACCAATCGTCTTAACGCAAAGTAGTTTACCGTCGTTTCTTTCGATTTTGGCTCAATTTCCCAAACCGAAGTTATAAGTCACGCTCAATAGAATATAATTTCGACTGATGCTGACATCATACACTTCATCTGAAGAAGAAAACATTCCCTAATCTTCGAAAATTTGCTCAAAACATCAGGAACAACAACGAAGGTCCTAAGCTGTTTGAAGATACCGCTGACTAGCATGCGTGTTGATCGCCTTGCAAGTTGTGAGAACATCATCCCCATGTTCCAGACTTCGTCAATGGTTCCCCCGTCCCCAACCCCCGGACTGGTCCCTATTTTCCCTGGAAGAAACTCTTCTACAGCCAGTGCTAAGGAGTTTTATTACAGTTTTTACTCAGAATAATGAAGGGCTGGAAAATAAATTGACGAGAGCTCCGCTTTTAGGCTTGGCTAAATCTATATATTAGAGTTATTATTTATCTTATATGGACTTTAAAAAATCTGTGCCGCTATCACGTAGACCTGCATCTCCTCTCATTCTTTCCACTTGTCCGATAAGATCTTAATTTTTCCCTAACGTGAATGCTGACATGCTCATCCGAGGAGATCTAAATTTATACCCAAAGTGAATGTTGACATGACAACTTGTTACTCTCTGATATCGGACCCTAAATCTGGACATAGCTAGGCTGCTGAACAGTTTCCTATTTCTGAATAAACTGTTATCTTGTTTCTTGTGCGCATTGCGTTGGGTGGTAAGTGGCGCTCGTAAGTCGTTCCCAGGGCATCTCCATTGGTCTTTTACTTATGATCAGTTGGGGAACAGACGGATAAGTGACGTCCACATGAAAAAAAATTTGCTTTGTTTATTACATAAAACAAATGTAATCTATGCTACGGTGGGTCTGTTCATTAATATATCACAGAGGACGTCATAAAGCAGTTGGAACATCAGTGACACACTCGCCTGCGCCTAGTGTGCCGTTTTGCTGTTCTTACCACATTATGACTTCGTCTGTGATCTAATACTAAACAGAACCAGGGAAAATTGGACGTTGCGTGACACCGCGAAACATGACAGCGAGAGAGATTTTAAAGATGCATAGAAGTATAAAGGAGCCAAAACCGAACAATAACATCAAATGCCAGCTCTAGAAAAGATTATAAACTGTATAATATCTTGAGCTCTGCAGGATCAGACCTGCGTGACATTCGAGGTATTTCAACCTAAGATCGCATCTCACTTAATGTTCATTATTGAGTCAAAATTGTCAAATCCTTTAACTTTTCCATCTTTCAAGACCAAAATCTTCTCGCAGTCTTTTATCGTGTTCAAACGGTGAGCTATAGTGATGACAGTCGACTCCTTCAGTTTGTCCCGCACTACATTCCAAATCGTCTGCTCTGTGTCTGGGTCAACATGCGCAGTTGGCTCGTCCAAGACGACGATTTTACTTCGCTGTAGCAGCACACGAGCCAAGCAAATTAACTGCCGCTCTCCAACACTCACATTAGCACCATGTTCCAGCAGTTCGTGATCCAGCTTGGCCTCAAGCCTCCCGACAAAATCTTTCAGTTGCACATCCTCTAAAGCCTGCCATAATTCAGCGTCTCGAAACTTGTCTAAAATATCGAGATTTTTCCTCAAAGATCCGCTAAAAAGAACAGGACTTTGGCCAAGAACTGAGATACCTCGTCGAGCTTGTTGGAGGCCTATCTCTTTAATTGGAACATCGTCGATGACTATCTCTCCATCAGCATCAGGCATGCGCATGAGAGCTGCTACAAAAGATGACTTCCCAGCTCCCGTACGGCCGGCAACTCCGATCTTTGCTCCTCCTTTGATGCTAAGATTGATGTTCTTCAGCACTTGAGGTCCCCCCGGATAGTACGTCAATGATACATCTCTCAACACAATACTTCCTCTCCGAGGCCAGTCTTTTGGCGGTGTTCGTTCTTCTTCGTATCCAGGCTCCTGATCGAGTTGGGTGTAGGTCATAACTCGCTCAACTGACGTCATGTAGTTTTCAACTTCAGACGTTTTTCTAACAGCGTATTGAGTCGCGCTCAGAGTTTGGATGACGTAAACAAGAGCGAGACCAGCGTAAGCTGAAAAGAAAAATTAGAACTTAAGTCTATAAATTCCGGACCTGTTTTTTCGCGATAGCTCAAAACATATAACGAAAGCTTTACAAGGCTAGGTTACCTAGCCTAGTCCAGGCAGTCACTTAATAAGAAGGAATAAATAAAGCGTCTTTTTTACATCTTTCTCAGTATCGTTGTTTTGACTCCGAGCTTAGTAGGTGCAGAGGAGTTATCAGCACAATTTTCCTGTTTTGAATCATAGAAGACACTTGAAAGTTTGCTCAGCACTTAAGCCACCCGAATTGATTCTCACGTTTCTGTCGTGATTAGAAAACACCCGTTCATGAGAGAGCACGTATAATCACACCTATTTTATTATTCAGTTGTTCATGCTGTGTTAATACACGACTATATAGATTCTTACTTTACATAGAAAGACTCAAAAATGTTACTAAGAATCTTGAGCTTACCGGCATCTTGAGATACCAAGATTGCAGCCAGAGCAACTGCACCGACTAACAAGGAAGCGAGACAATCCAAACGTGCACCGAGCCACCTACCGCTGGCCATCACCATAATATACGCCTGATTATGAACATCTTGATATCTGAGGGGACAAGTTTTTATCACAATAAGTTTTAATAATGGAGTTATTTTTTAGTTGACTGTCGAAAATAAACCGGGTTGTATCAGCTTGATAATTACTTTGATTGGTGATTGGTCCGGCAAACTTGCGCAAAACCAACCGCCTATTGGTCGAACGCGTTTGTCAGCGTTCAGTGCCGTTTCCTTGTTTTTGAGTTAAGTCCTCTGTCACTACTTGTGATCTTTTCTTTTGTTTTGATTGGCTTGTTATTATAAAATAATATTTTCCTTACGACAATCACTCCAAAAAAATCTCAAAGACATTACATCGGGTCTGTACACTGAAGTGAGACCAGTGTCTCCTTTGGCCTGACAATGTAACGGAGCCCTTCAATAAATTTCGCCCGACACCCCTGCCCCTCAAAAAGATGTTACTCTCCAAGGAACATCCGTAAGCTTCTTGCTAAGTATCCGAAAGATCATTTCCGTAACCACATCTCATTCTTTGGTATGCTCCATTCGTCCAGATGAAGTGAGAGCCGCTAGAGCCGAGTTTCTTGACGATATGGATACTTTTCCATTAAAAATAGTAAATTCGCCAAAAACAGACCAGTTCTTAATTGTTCACTATCACAACTCCATCTTGTATGCTAAGTATAACATTTATCAGAAGGAGAAGACGAGTGGCACTCGTCTGTATTTCCTGTTAATTAAACTCATAATGGTAATAGGACTGAGTGGAGTCCAATTCGGCCAGTAATCATACGAGTGATTAACAAAAGGGGACGACTGCGAGGCGGGAGTCTGGCTTTTTTAATCACGAGTATTATTAAAGGCAGAATTGCACGACATGACGTTCTCTTACCAATTGATCAAAACTGTGGCAAAATTAGAGAAAGAAACTAACATCGCTTATACGTTCCATACATTTGTCATAGTTTCGACTAATTGTGAAATTTCTACGTCACGCGATCTCGTTGATTGACGGTTCATAGTATACGACTGTTGAAATCCTATCAGAAGGATGAAAACCGCACAGAGCGATTACTGTAGTCTCACAACTGGTAATACCCCTCGTGCCTCTTTCGGATAGCTTCGTTTCGCCACCGTGCCTCGTACCGAAAGGTCCACTTGCTGACCAGTGTCTCAGCACGTACCGGATAGGATTACAAAAGACACGTGATGCCATTTCGCGTATTGCCGGCAAATTAAAGAAAATAGCTCACAGAAAACGAGTGATTATGAGTCATTTTTGCCCTGTGCATTTATCGGCTCTGACACCACAAACTGAATCAATGTCTCTGACATACCTGTAGAGTGCATCCACAAAATCTGTCTGTCTTCCTCTCGTACGAATCGTGTCCAGTCCTATCAGGGTCTCCGAAAAATGAGCGAACACTGGGCTTCGGGATATCGACTCTAACCTCTTTAGTTCTCTGGCAGTCTTCAAGTAATAATTGGATAGAAAACCGACCAACATGGAAATTGGAACAACAAGAAACATCAGCCAAACATTTGTGGCAACTGTTACCAGAATTTGGGCAAATATCACCAAGAGCATCTGCATTGCCGCCAGGAATGTTTTGGGTAACATCTCATCTACGCAGCCAATATCATTGGAGAAACGATTTAGGATTCTTCCCACTGGATTTGAATCAAAGAACAGGACAGGTGCTTGTAAAATGGCCACAACCATTTTATCGTGAAGACGCTCGGCGCACTTTAGACAAACATGGAAGAATCCATAAGCCCGAACGATAGTAAATATAAAACACGCGCCAACCAGACAGGCGAAGACAGATAGATAAGTCTTGTTCTTCTGATCCTCTGGGTTTAGCCTTGCAAGAAACGAAAGCCACAAGTCGGGAGCAACTATGATGGCTGAAAGAAATACCATTAAAATGCAGTGGTTGAAATGTACTTTTGTATGATCGCTCAGTTGAACATTGTAAGATTTATTGGGCCTAGACACAACTCGCCTGGATTACCTACTACCGTTAATATCTTGGGGATGTTTATGCAAGCACCACAACGTCACAGAATAAATAAAGCAGTCAACCATGTTACACCTAAATATTGTTAGAAAACTACATTCGGTCTCAGAAAGTTAGTTTGTAGAGCGAGTGGTTTTTCGACCTTTTCATGCGAGTGGAGGCAAGTGTAAGGCAAACGCGAGGAGAAAAACACCAGCTCTTCCTTTCGCGCGTAACTCGCCATTCACTCGCGCTTGCCTCGCGCTTGTACGAGCAAGTGAGATATCGGGAACATGGTCAGAAGTTTGCGCAGTGTCTCTCAATGCTACCTGCTAATCTAAAAAGAACTTTTATTCTTGGTTAAAAGCATAGCCATTGTGAAACGATTTGCACGAAACAGAATAAAAGAATAAAAGAAACGAAATATAGAAACAAGGCCTGACCCAAGGTTTGTAGCTCAGTCTAACAATAAGTTTACCTTGAGTAATGAGACTTAAACCAACCATTCCAGTTAGCATCAAAGGATGTGCTCCACTTCTGAAATAGTCCCAATAAAGCTTGGATGTCACAACTCCGATTGAACGATCCTCCCTTGCTATCTCCAAACTCTTCGCTTCATTGGGCAGAGAATGTATTTTCTGGCACTTTTCAGCATCATTGTCTTCCTCTTTATCTTCCCAGCAGAACGGCTCAGATGAGTCCGTTTTGTCCTTCAGAGCTGCTTTATAGAGCGGGTCAACAATTGAATTGATAACACCTTTTTCGTGCAGCTCAGGAAAGCTTCCCTTGTCGAGAACACGCCCTTTGTAAACCACAATCACTTGATCAGCATTTTCCATGTGCTGTTGCTGATGAGAGGCAAACAGAACGATTTTATCGCCCAATAGATCTTTGATGCACTTGTTAAAGATGTGTTGGCCAACTTTAAAATCGACAGCACTCAGTGGATCATCCAATAGATAAATATCTCCGTCAGCATAAACTGCACGAGCTAAACTTACTCTCGCCTGTTGTCCTCCACTCAGAACCTCTCCGCGTTCTCCAACAACTGTTTGGTCACCATCAGGTAACCGCTGAAAGTCTTCTTTCAGAGCGCAGACGTCGATTATTCTTTCGTACTTGGACTCCTCGAAGGGTTGACCAAACAGAATGTTTTCTTTTATCGTTCCCGAGAACACCCAAGCAGTCTGAGGCAAGTAAATGACAGAACCTTGATAATCAATCGTCCCACTGGTGTTCGAAATTTCACCAGCGATCGCTGAGAGCAGAGTAGACTTACCACTTCCAACCGGTCCGGTGATGACTGTTAAACTCTTTGAAGGTGCAAAGAAGTTGATATCCTCAAGAATAAATTCATCTTCATGATGCGTTTTTGCGTAGCTTAAATTTGACACACATAATATAGTAGGCCCTAATTCTCTTGATTCACGAGAGAGGGAAACTTTCTCCGTATTTTCCTCTTCTTTTTTCAAGTAACTGCGACTTAAGTAAGTTGCGGTACTTTCCGCTTTTTGTTGAGGCTCGTTGCTTACATCACTCTCCGAGGCTTGCAACAGATTTTCCAAAAGAAGGAATTCTTCGATTCTTCCGAGCGAAACGTAGGCGTCATACGTTACCATTAAACCTGATGTCATATTCAACATACCACTAAATTTTAGAACACCCATAAACGACAGCAGCATGAAAACATTGGCGGGCGTGAGGGTCTGGCCTGTAAGCACCATAATAATTACTGACACCAGAGTGGCCAGTGGCGTTGCACTGTATAACAAGGCATCAATACTTGACTGAATGGCTGTCCTCTTCGAAATGACGCTGATTTCATTTCTGTAGATAAAAGTCGTTCATTAGTTATGTGGGCATTCTGTCGAACCAATTCGTCCTCTGTGTTCTCTCTAATTTGAAATATAAAGGAGGTGAGCGGGCAGCAAGCGCACCCTTCCTCATCGTTCACTTCTTTGTGAAAGTGCGTCTTTTGCGAACCCACGACAGCGTATGAAAAATAATACCAAATGAAGTCAAGTTAGACTCAATGAGATGTTCTACCTATGATAATGAACGATTATGCTCCGAAGTGGAGGTGATAACCACCCTTTTTCACCGACACTGAAGTAAAAACGATTACAACATTTTCGGATGCAAATCCCGAACGAGTCGCTCGAAGATGAATTGCAAAGGATATTCGGAGTTTGAGTAGCCAATCAGAGTGCACTTTTAACACTTTCTACTCAGTAGATACTGATATTTATTGACTAACCGGCCAGTCCTATGGTTATGAAATGGGTTACATGAGACTACTTAGCTAATAAAGCTCTCAGTGGAGACAAAACATATTTGTGGATTTTGAATAGTTTAGGTCAATAATT